CTACTATAAAAATATCAGCCAAATCGGTGAGATTGATTGAGCATCGTCGGTCGTGGCTTGCGTGCAATGTCTCCTAAAAAGAAAATAATTATAAAATGAAATGAAAAATAATCTTTACTTGTTGAAGATTATCAATAACATTTAATTGAATTTCTTGCATACGTATTGACCAAATTAGATCTCCGAAATTTATTTACTCATGTACAGAAAATGTTGTTGCTTCTGGATGATAAAGAAGAATTTCATTTACTTGATATAATCGACCACCAATAATAAATAAACAAAAGATTATAATATACTAAAATATCTTCAACTTATGATATTCATGATCATAACTTCAAGTTTACCTGTGTATAGAGTTGTTCTTCTGTCAGATTATTGCCCATTGTGTATATCGATCACTTGATCCTTCTGGAATTCGTTCATATTTAGATCCAACTAAGAATAACAACTGAATATCAAATCGATTTGGACACATAAGGTCATCCTAAAGAAATATTTGTTTTTTTATAGCATCTTGAAAATATAAAAATTGACCAGATGAATATTGAACTGCTCGATTTTTACCATATCCCACTGAAATAAAATGAGAATATATGAATGTTAGAAGTTTTTATCTATTTAAATCAGCAAGTAACATATTCTCATATATATCATAATATAAACTTAATTATTTTCCGATGGAGTTTATCCTACTTGATATTCGAATATTCTTACCACCACGAGCTTCTTCATGTCCATTAATAACTAATTTATATTCAAAGTCTCATCCTACTACCAAGAAAATGTTCAAGAATTTCAGATAAAAGAAAGTCACTTGCTGAACTTCCATCATTATAAATAGATAATTCAATATTGTCATGCTCAAAAATTTGTTCCATTAAACTTCGAAATGTTTCATCTAATCAATGAGCAGCATTACAATAGACTAAAAATTTTTTAGTTTTATTTCTACTAAACATACCACATCAATTGACATTATTTCTATTTATTTTTTTCTCTAATATCTGTAAAAAAAATGAAACATTTACAAATACATATTAATTCTTTCGTTTCGTCTATTCAAAAAAGAAAACACATCCATCGTACATCACAGATAGAGTACAAGAAGAGAAAATATAATTAAAGAGATGATACTGGCGTTTCAATAATATAGTCGAATAATGTTATTTTATTATATAATGTTGTATATTGCTGAAGATAAGTACATAAATCTTTCACTGTTGCTTTTTCATCTAATAAATATTTATATACTTTATAGAATGATAGAACTAAATTTTGATCCCGGAATGTTAAATAAACAAGTGGACGTCCAGCTTGTGAAGCAGCAATTAATTGTATAATTGCTATGAAAAAAATAAAAATCGGTATTGCAGAAAAAAAGGTTTTTTTGTGAATTACCTTTTAATTGTTTATTTCCATTAAATGCACCACAACCCCAATTACCAGTTGCAATACCAGCTTTTAGATCAGTTAATGCTGCTGGAACACGAAAACATGTATAAGCTTTAATTAATTCTCTTTTCATATTTTTTATTGTATATTGTGATGATCGATTATAAAAAGCGATAGCATCCATTGCAACAACATGACATAATTTTCGACCCCAAGAATCTCTGAAAAAACCTCGAGATTATATACATAAATTAATTAATTAATTATATTTACTTTGGAGTTTCATCAATATAATTATCTTTAAATTGAAATGATGTTGAATAACCTCGATATGATGAAAACCGTTCACAACCAATAAGAAAAATACATTCATTCGGTTGAATTACTTCACATAGAAGTAAACTAAGAAGCATTTCAGGACAAATAACAAAACGTATTTCTTCTTGAACACAACCTTCATTCATTACACCACCACCCTATTTGAAAACGTAAATATTTTCATTTTAGATCAATTTCAACTTCTTGCATGAATATTACTTACGATGTATTTATTAGCAAAATCCACCTATATAAAATAAAATATCTAATAAATATCTAATAAATATAAAAGTATTTACTTGTAACAGACCATCCATATCTTCAATAGTTTTATTTTTTGTTACATGAATTTTACATAAAGGTTCTGTAGATTCCGTCCATTTTGGTACACAACTTTCTGGTAATTGATAACGTCGAAATGATATTACACCATTCGGCACTTAATATAAGACAAATGAACATGAAATTTGAATATAATATAGTTTTATTTACTTTTTTCGGTAATACGATGAAAATAATGAAAAACACATTTAAGTTTTTGTAGCTTCCATGTTGTTCCACCTTTTCTACCACCTTGAAATAATCTTGAATTAATGAAATAGAAATTAAAGTAAATCAAAATAAAAGACTTATTGTTACGTATTAAAATTTGGATTTTGATAATTTTCATATTCACTGCCTACTTTTTGATTAAAACGTCGAGGAAATAAACAGAAAAATGCACAAGATAATAAAGATGCAGCTTGTTTTTGTGACATTGTTACTGTACGATTTGATCCAATACGTAATAATGGTGGTGGCTAAAAAGAATCAAATCAACAAATTTCTACTTAATTTAAACAAAATCGATTCATACTCGACTACATATTTTATCAACATTTAATGCCAAAGTACATATATTCGACAGAACAATTGACATAAAATGAGCACGCTCATCAACTGTATAAACCTTAATAATAATTCTTATTAATACAATTTATTAAATTCAATCAAAAAAAAATTTACTTCATTTAAAAGTCGTTCAAGACAATTTAATTCATAATTACGTCCTGCACATTCTTCAATAGTTTCCTAAAGAAAATAATTTCATTATTAAAATAAAGAAAAAAATAAAAATATTTTACTTTAATATCATCCATTGATGCCATGTGTGTTTCTGCTAAATGTTGAAGTTTTATTAAAGATTCTTGAATTATTGACCATCTTTGTGTACCATTTTTCTATGAAAAATAAAAATATTTTTTTAAAATAAAATTAATTATGAAATTATACATTGATATAAGATTGTGAACATGGTAAACGAACGTAATTTTGATCCCATTCATCCACATAAGTACCGTTTTCATAAAATGCTTGTGGTTCGGCATCGGGATCAGTTGAAGTATATTTGAATGGCTATTCGAAATAGTAGACTATTATTGTCTTTTTGAACTATATAATATACTTTTATTAGGAATGTATGAGTACGTTCACAAACATCTTTCATATCGATAATAGTTGGAGGTTGTTGACATACATTTGTTATTTCAGATAATGGTACACCCTACAGATATGAATTTATGTAGATTTAAATGAAATATGTTCATAGATAATTTACTTGATATGTTCCATCATCTTCTTCATCAACATTATCATATTCAGAATCTATAAAATAAGAATATTAAGTTGAGAAATTATTAAAATTATTGAAAAAACTTACTCTCAGCTATAGGTTGTGATGAGGATTCATTTTGAGAACTTTTATTTTCATAGAATTGACCTTCACGACTATCTTCATCATAACTAAAGAAGAGAAATAAAAGTATTTAATAAGAATTAAAATTTTCTTTCATCAAAAAATTAGTAGGTTTGATTAGTTACAAAAATCTTTTCGCTTACTTACTTGCTTAATCGAGATGATAATTCTTCATCAGGTAGATCTTACAATAAGAAAAAAAGAATATTATATCAACCGATATTCATCAGTAGAATCAATGTATACTTTTCTCTACATTATCCATGTCTTCTTCAAAATTATCGTCATATTCTTGAGAAACATCGGATGTTTTTGTACGTTTTTCATTATTTTTCTCATCAACTTCGGCTGAAAATAAAAAATCAATATATTTCGTGAGAATTAAAATTTTAAATCAAAATTATATGGTACTATTAATAGAACTAATTAGTTCAATACATCGTTTTTTGTTCGTGGGTGTATCAGACGTTGTTTTATTAGAATTCTTCTTTGGAGTAACTGGTGAAGCACTCATAATTCTCCCAGATTTTTATTTATGACAAAAAAAATTTTTTTTATTCTTTATACATTGATTTTGATTGCTTTATGTTATGCAATAACGAGATTGTATCATACGTAGAGGGCGTTATATGACATAAATTCAATATCTTAATTGAAATAAAAATGACACAAAATATAAACATAATTAGTAAAATGTAGCTATTTAATACATTTTAGAGAAAGTAGATATAATGAATAATTTGTATATACTATCGTGCATTATAAGCAAACATTATAAATGTAACTCTTCAATATTATCCGTAGAAGAATATAAATAAAAATCGAAGTTGTTTAAGATGAACTTTGAGTGATACAATATGAATATCTAAATAGATGTCTCTTTCTATGATTGATAAACATAGAGCATTGCAAGATGCAATAAAATCTAAACAAATATTGATCCCAAAAGGTCAAAATAAAGTATTGTTATGAATGTAAATCAAACAGACTTCTTCTTTATTCATTTAACTAAAGAGAAGCAAGTATATTTTATCTGACATGAGTGACTATTCAATATATTAATAATATTCATGCATCACACAACTAAAGAAAGATTATGTCTCAATAACAGTAATTACTGATCAGTTTTAAACAGACTATCAATTTATCTTGAGGTTGTGGGTATTAGTATACTAGTCACACCACATCCACATTCCGATGAAATTCGAAATTATTTTTTGTATTATTGTTTTATCAAAACCTGCACTTCGTTGATGTTGAATTCATTCTGCGTCACATCAGTTTCACAAGTAAAATGCAACACACAAACACATATTCTAGTTTTCTATAGATTAGATATTTTGAAAATCACTTTAAAATAGAAAAGCTGAGCAGAGTTTATCGTCTCGATTCAATGTCAGCTTTGTTGTCGATCACCAACCAATCACTAATTCGGTACTTTTTTTCGAAGTATCAAGTACATGCTGTGTAGCTTCATCGATATTATTATTAGTCAGCGCGAGTTCGGTGAGTGTCTATGAGAAAAAAAGAAAAAGGAAATGCGAAAGACGAAGAAAGGAGGAAATTCACTGTATTGATTTGTAAAGCATCAGCCAGATGGTGGGCTCCTTCATTTCCTATTTGGCATCCAAAAAGGCTAAGTTTGCTGAGTGTCTATGTGAGATAGGGAATATGAAAATAACAAAAAGACGAAAAGAGAAAGATGTTCACTTTGTTGACATGTAAAGCATCAGCTACATATTGGGCCCCTTCACTTCCGATTTCATTTCCATAGAGGTTGAGATCGATCAGTGTCTGTGTGAAAATGTGAAGAGATAAATGAGAAAGATAAACAAAGAAAGATGTTTACAGTGTTGTTTCGTAAAGCATCAGCCAGATGTTGAGCTCCTTTGGCTGAGATTTCATTTTGTGAGAGGTCAAGTGTAGTTAAAGTCTGTGTGAACAGGTGAACATGGAAATAATAAAGATGAGAAAAAAAAACGAAAAGATAAAAAGTGTATACCGTGCTATTTCGTAAAATATCAGCCAGACTTTGGATGGCTTCATCTCCGAGAAGATCGTATGAGAGATCGAGTTCGATGAGTGTCTACATGAAACAGTGAAGATGAAAATGAGAGGCATGAAGAAAGGACATGGTTCACTTTATTATTTCGTAAAGCATCAGCCACATGTTGAGCTCCTTTGACTCCGACTCGATTAGCACGAAGATGGAGATTTGTCATTGTCTATATGAAAATAGCAACAATGCGAATAAGAATGATAAAGAAGGAGAGAAGTTAACTGTATTATTGCGTAATGCATCAGCCAGCTCCTGAGCTCGTTCTTCGCTTTCGATTTCATTTTTCCAGAGATCAAGTTCGATGAGTGTCTGTAAGAGGAAAAAGAAGATAGAAATGCCAGATATGGAGTCAGAAAGAAAGAAGTTTACAGTGTTATTTCGTATGATATAAGCTATATCTTCAGTCGATTTATTTCCGATTTCAATTCCGCCGAAGATGAGCTTTTTCAGTGTCTGTATGACGAAATGAACATAGTAATAGGGAAGATGAGAAGAAGAAGAGACTTACAGTGTTATTTCGCAACGCATTAGTCAGAAGTTGAACACCTTCATCATCAATTTCATTGCTCATGAATCTGATTTCGTTGAGTGTCTATGGAAAGAAACGAATATTGAAATGCAAATAATGAAGAAAGAAAAAGACTTACTTTACTGTTTCGAAAAGGATCAACCAAAAGCTGAGCGCCTGCGGTTTCAATTGTATTACTTGAGAGACCAATCGTAGTGAGTGCCTGTGAGAATAAACGAAGGTATAAATTTGAGTGATGAAGAAAGAAAAGAATTTACGGTGTTATTTCGTAAAATATCAGCCAGATATTGACCCACTTCCTCTCCAATTGCTACACCAGAGAGTTCGAGTTTATTAAGTGTCTGTATGATGAAAGAAAGACAGAAATGAAAAAGATGAAAAAAAAAGAAACTCACTGTATTATTTCGTAAAGCGTCAATCAGATGGTGGATGTCTTCATCTTCCACTGTATTATTACAGAGACTGAGTTCGGTGAGCGTCTGTATGAAAAATTTAAGGTTAGTAATGGATATGAGTGGTATAAACCGAGAAAGATATTCACTGTGTTGTTTCCTAAAACATCAGCCAGCTGTTTAGCCGCTTCAACCGTCAATGTAATGGCCATCAAGGTAATTGATTTGAGTTTCTGTTCGAAAAAAGTGAAGATAGGTATGAGAAACATAGAGATAGAAAGATATTTACCTTGTTGTTTCGAAGAGCATCAGCGAAATGTTTACCTGCTTCATCGTCGATGTTACTTGACATGAGGCTGAGTTCAGTGAGTGTCTGTAAGAAAAGTTACTGTAGAAATGAGAGAGATGAATACAAACAACGCTTGTTCTATGACGAAATGGACAACAGCTCTTGAATTGTAGTGATATATCTTGTTCTATCAAGAGGCATGGGATTGGGGCAGCAAAAGTTTGCATATTTGAAAAGAGGAATTCAACGTATGTATGAAGCAGCACTTTTCTCCTCACATATCTCAATATCAATAATGACACTATCTGCGAACCAAATATTAGTTTTCATATGATGAACTATCATGGCAAGTATTATTGCATTACTTAGTAAACGAATGACAAAGAAACACTCCAGGTCCTAATTCACTTCCTACTACGAGACTTAAATCCCTCAAATAGTTGCTTCCAAAGCACTTACAGCATAAAAATAACAAGATACATCAGAATAGAGATAGCAAGGTAGCAGACCATATATAATTATGTCTAAAACTCTCGACATTAAAAAATTATCCTCTCACCTCGTTATTTGATAATTTATCGGCAGCAATAATCATGTCTTGATCAGATAATTCATTCAACATCAATTCCGGCGAGTCACCATTTTCAGAAAAAAGTTTTTCCACATCAACTGCAGGATTTTCTGAGTTATCGTTTGATTCTTGTTCTTGCTCTAAAATGAACATATGTTTGAGTACTCCTGTGTGTGAGAGAGAATGACAGAGAGGAAACAAAGCTAACTGCTTTTCTGTCAAATATGTATATACGAACGATTATAAATTCAAAAACTTAGAATCTAATTTATCTCCAGTCTTTTTTTTTGACAAACCTATGAAAAATTCCGTTAGATCAGTTCTTTCACATCCTCAAGATGAACGGTAAATGATCATTTTGTTGTTCTACTTCAAAGTTGAACCTTATTTTCCCTACGTATCTTTGTTTTGTTCCTGAATTTTGAGTATTATTATTTACAGATTTTTACAGAAAGAACTGCCATTCAACTCTATAGTCAACAATTTGCTATTACTTTCAGATAATACTTTTAATACATGTAATCTCTAAGCAAACCACCACTGGAATGCTTCTTTTCTGATGAAATGTCTGGTCATTCTATATGTGTATATAACTTTTCCGAAGTTTTCATTCCTGTGACACACTAAAGAATACCTGAAGACATTTTTAGTACCAACAGTTCCAAATTGAGAAAATGATAATTTATATGCTATGAAATTGATCAGTTAGATGCACGAAACAACGATAAATTAAATCTGAAATGAAAAAAGAATAACAATGAAATCAAAGCAAATATCAAACGATAAAACAATCTATCGAACAAAATGAAGATTATACTTCCTTGTCTGATATATAAATTTCTTCAATGAAAAAATATCAAACAATGTCGTATTATTTAAAAAATTCAAAAAGCAGCTACTTCATCTATAGTTAAATGATTTTATTTGTGACTCTTTGAAATGTAGACTATTGAACATCAGTTAATAAAATAAAATCAAACCTTTATAGCATCACATACATACTTTTTCTCTCAAGAGAAGACTATAAATATAACGATCTGTTTCTTTTTTACTGGAACGGCGAGGCTTCTACATCATTATAAGTCGATCGCGAGCATATTGAAGAAAGACGTCGTCATTATTTTGCCCTATTTCTTTGGAGAAATAAATCAAAAACATTTATTCGTATTACTAGTTGTTTTTAAGTAGGTCGAATTTGAATAATTCGAATGCGTGTCGAAAGTAAATATACCTGTGCGTTGCTGTCGGCTTATCGTTTGCCTTCTAGGTAGTGTTTTGTTTTTTGAATGGCTCGATCGTAATTACCAGGCTTCTGTTTATGTCAATACTTATATGAATAACTTGAAAGGAAAGTAAAAGTGTATCTTTATGTCAAAATAAAAGAGAATGCAGCTTTTTCATTTTATTTACTTATAATTTATTATATTGTGGTAGAATTTTCGACCTTTTCTTAGTGTTTAATACGGTCATCATCAGTATAATAGTAAGACAAAGAAATATAAATATAACTAGCACTCGGTATCTGTTGTAATTTATAACAGAATAAAATAAAATATTAGATTAATAATGTAACATTGTAATCCGATGCATAACATCAAAATCAATATATAAAATACTCAAGTTTGAATAACTGCCTGTTCATATGTCAATATTTATATCAATAATTTGAAAGTAGAGCAAAACGAAAATATATTTTTACTTCTCTTTATGTATAATATGCGCGAATGTTTTCGTCACTAAATTTTTTTCTTCAAAGGTAAACGATAACTATCGATCGGCATTAGTTTTGATTGACAGCTCATTATCGATAATATATCGAATCATTCAAGCGTGGAAAGTTGGAAAAAACCAACATAAGACTACAGAAAGTAATCAATATGTTTTGATGAGAACGTAGCAGACATTAAAGTAAATATCAACAAGGAAATGTTTATGTTAAAAATTAAAAAATTATTTTTATTAGTATAAACACTCGATTTAAATATTTATTGGTGAAAATCGATTATTAAAATTAGTAACGAGTTTTTTATCAAATTTAAGACATGAAGAATAAACAGACACTACAGAATGTATTGGATCAAACAGATTGTTAGGTTATTCAACTCTTGAATCTCTCACATTATCTAAACGTATAATTAACAAAAGATGGACATACGCCATGTCCTTTTAATATAAAAAATGGACAAATTGATCACAAAAGCCAAGAATAATAATAGGATTGTTATTTTTTCCTATTTATAATAATAGGAAAATAAAGAGATAACTGCTGTAAATAATATATTTATTTAATTATTTTGAACAGAAATAATAATAAAAAAAGGAAGAGAGGTTCAAGCTTTCGCATCCTTATCTGAACCAATTCAGTTAGATCTCAATCATACGATGAGTGAAAAAGAATGTATTTCATCAGAATTAAAATTTTAAATCAAAATTATATAGTACTATTAATAGTGACAGACGTTGTTGTTTTATTAGAATTTTTCTTTGGAGTAACTAGTGAAGCATTCATAATTCTCCCAGGTTCTTATTCTTTATACATTGATTTTGATTGCTTTATGCTATGTAATAACGAGATTTTATCATACGCAGAGGGCGTTATATGACATAAATTCAATATCTTAATTGAAATAAAAATGACACAAAATATAAACATAATTAGTAAAATGTAGCTATTTAATACATTTTAGAGAAAGTAGATATAATGAATAATTTGTATATACTATCATGGATTATTAACAAACATTTGTTACTAAAAAATATCAAACAATAAATGTAACTTTGAATATTATCTGTAGAAAAATAAAAATCGAAGTTGTTTAAGATGAACTTTGAGTGATACAATATGAATATCTAAATAGATGTCTCTTTCTATGATTGATGAACATGGGACATTGCAAGATGCAATAAAATCTAAGCAAATATTGATACCAAAAGGTCAAAATAAAGTATTGTTATGAATGTAAATCAAACAGACTTCTTCTTTATTCATTTAACTAAAGAGAAGCAAGTATATTTTATCTAACATGAGTGACTATTCAATATATTAATAATATTCACGCATCACACAACTACAGAAAGATTATGTTTAAATAACAGTAATTATTGATCAATTTTAAGCAGACTATCTATTTATCTTAATTTAAGAGTCTATTTTGACTACTTCAGAAACTAGTGCCGGTTGATAGTTCATAGATATCACATATAAAAAATGTATTAGCATCGAGATATAATATTCGATCGATTATTACAGACAGAAGAAACATGTGCTTCATAAAATATTGATTATTGTATAATAATATGAGAATGGAAAAAGTTAATATTGAGCGAACACTATCATTATTTAGTCTATCTAACAGTAGTGTAGTATCATAATCGGAGAAAATTAACTTATCATAGATGTTATTTATTCTCATCATTATTTTTTCTTTTTCTAGAATGCATTAGAATCACTGTATGTTATAAATGTTCTTTTCTCTTTAGCTCAATTCGAATACTGAACTATTATATAAAAAAAACTTTGTTGTTATACAATCGAAATAACATTGCTTATCAATGCTGTTCTTTTGTGTTCACAACTAGAGTACGTAGTTTTAACATGTGTTCTTTATATATGAAATATGATGAATGCAAATAAAAAAGAGAAACCATGAAACTTAATCCTTCTTTTGTCAATGTGTCTAACTTTAGTGTTACCAGCAGAAGTCATTTTTAAGACATATATTTAAAATTTTTGAAAATATACTAGAAATAATTTGTTACTTCTTGGTTGTTCGACGCAACTAATATTTCTTACGTATTGATGTGTTTTTGAATCTAAAAAGAAATTTTATTTCTGTTTGTTTATACTAGTAGAAGGCTTCAGTACCATACTATGTCTACAGTATACAATGAAAATATAATAAGAAAGAAGAACACATCTTGAATTCATATTATAATAATTCATTCGCTATAGTAACTGAATACTGTCAATCTGTTAAAAAGCATTGTTTAGATGGTTTCGAGATATCGAGTTAGGTTAGTAGACGATTTCTTTGATTGTAGATTAAAATCATGGCTTTTCTTTCTTTCTTATTTTATATGTATCAAGCAATGAGTTCGTAATATCACGTCGAAAGCCTATTAGATGATGAAAAAGGAGATTGAGCTTTTCTATATTCAATTGATAACAATTTCTCTGATACCTCTTCGTGTATTTCTCACTTATATATTCAAATGCCTTCTCATACAATTTAAATGAAACCGTACCTAAGTGTTATAAAAATGATTTCAAATCGGAATGAATTGAGCTGGAAAAAAAGTTATAACAAAGGAGTTGAACTGGATTGAATTGAGTTAAAAACAAGTCTTTTGCCTCGACATGGCTGATTTAGTATTCATTTCAGTAAATATATACATACATCTATATATTTATAGCTCTGTAGCAATCTCTAAATCTTATCACTATTTTCTTCTCTTATATGTGCTTGTTACGTTTATAAACTGTATCTACTATGTCTTTTCATATGCCGATGTGTAAATCGATCTATGCGAATTACAAGTGTAATAGACAAGTAATTTAATACTATGAAAGAGATACATATCATTGTAGTTGATCTTATTCATTAACTAAGATAAAGAAAGAAAGAAAAAAGATTTTTAATAGGATTAAAATAAAATGAAGAAGACTTGAATCATAGATGTAATGTATATTCATTTGTTTATGCACTGTACTAGGTCAACATTTTACAGTATTTATTTTGTCTATTCTGTACCCTTTAGCAAAAACAAATTCTTCAAATAATACTATTGAGTGTTCATTCACCTCTAAACTATACTCATTCATATCCTCAAAGAGAGCACATTTTATTAAAAGATCAATGTAAGAATGAAGGTATCGTTTATCTTTTTTCTGAATACCTTACGACGACATATAACTTCATAAAAATAATTAAGCTTACTACGATACGAACGAGAATAAGTATTTATGTATGATTGAATAATAGAATTAAATTATTCAGTTGTAATGAGGTATTTTTATTCATGTATATTGAAAAGATGTCTGAAGTATATACTTTAAAAAGAAATTTCATCATCTCCTTCATAGGAAAGAAATTTTTTTCTTTAAAAAGCTACATAAAATAAAATGTGTCGTTCATTACTGTCACTATTTTCAATAAAAACATGTTGCCCAGTTTTAACATATAATTGACATGAAAGTAATGTTAGTATAAATTATTTGTATTTATTTTTGATTATATACATTTACCAACTCATACTGATTTTTCTATGAAACAAGATATTCTTCTGTAAAGGTCTTCAAAATCCAGTCATTTACAGAGAAGAATAATAAATATTGGTTAATGAAACACCTATATGTTAATCAAGTACATGTCTTTTTTTTGTAGATTTTCTGTCTATATACATCTTGTATATAATATAGAAAAAATCATTGTCGACGCTATTTTACATGGAAGAACAATATAGTACCGAATGACTCAACCTATCGGTGAACATTTGTTTGTCTACGAAGAAATAGGTAAAAAGACTTTATTAAATTCTTATAACATACGGCATTGTCAACAGGAAAAGAAAAAACGTAACAGAACATTTTATTACTTTTTTAAATTCTCGGTTAGAAATAGTTCTTTCTCTAAATCGGTAAGAACATAATTATATAGAAATCATTTATTGATAGAAGTTCTTTCGAAATATAATTATTTGATATTTTAATAGACTTGTCAAAAATTGTAGTTGCATCGCCAAGATATTGATTTGATAATACCTGAATATACATACTATAGTTTGAAAGTCATTTGAACAAAAATCGCATCATATTTTAATACTCTTAGAAGAATTCTGTGTACTGAAGTTTTCGAAAGGCTTCCTTCAATTTATTTTCTTTTTCTTATTCAAATTCTACATTTAACAAAAATTGTCACATGCTGTTTTCTATAAACAATTTATTCATCGACAAATGGTAAAATACATGCAATTAGTTTCAAACATAGAATTAAGAATATTTTGATCTGCATAAATTTGAATAAATTGTGCAAATAAAGGTTTTTATTTAAACATAAGTAAATATTCTATATTAGAAAAGTGAAAAAAGAATACTTAGGTTATATTATACGTATATTAATCTTCATCATTCTTTATTTTATCAGTATAAATTTTATTTATTGATACGGAATAGTAGTAAATTTTTTGATATTGTAAGACGTTTTTATTAGTTTACCATTGTTTTTCTTTTCTATAAATCATGCAGTAACGAACTAAAGTGAGTTCAAATCGTTGCATGAATCATCTTCTCGTTTATAAAATTTTGCCGATGGCGATGAAAAAAATTTGAATAGGAAGAACAGAAAAATGTGTGAAAGCGTAGCATATACGCAATTTTTTTTATTTCTATGGTTAGTGAGCAGCTGCCAATTTAAAGAGTAACATTATGATGTGTCATTAGAAGGATTTTCTTTCATTTCATAATATTTTACATATCATTAAGTATCATTTTACTATATGATCGTTAGCTATTGTTTTCAAAGTCATATAGACTATGAAAGCAAAATTCAAACATGTATTCTGTTCATTAATTTCAGTTGAAATTGAATTTGTATATATATACATATTAACAGATATATTTTTCGTAAGTATTTACCTACAACTTATTTCTTTTTTGTACGAACTAATGCATATTGTATTTTGAACGAAAGTTTTATTATTTTTTATTTTATTGTTGTAGAAAATAGCACAAGATTGAAGCTGTTATATTATATAATAGAACAAAATCAATTAGGATCAATTTTCAAGTGTAGAACTAATTATCATGCAGCGTAAACCTATATCTTACTGCTTGTATCTCTTTACGAGTAGTAAATATCGCTTTTTAGTTATAATTATTATTTTTATATGCATTATTCTGCGTATGATTTATACGAACCACACATCAAATTATCAAAATATACTGAATTTAAGTGATACAATTTCCTATGAAAAATCATCTAATTTATTAATTCAACAAAAAATCCTTGTGCCTGTACATATTTCTCGATTATATGATTATCAAGTAGTATGCACTGGTAAAGATGGTATTATTAATCGAAATGATTTAATTAGTCAGTTATCAAAGACATGTCAAATAAAAGTTAATGGAACTTTAAATATGAATCTTAATCCACCTGATGATTTTCAAATACGTTCATCCTCGTCATTGAAATATGTTAAATTGTGGCAAGTAACAAATGTATGTACATTATTTCAAAATGAAACAATTGCAATTATTATTCCCTATCGTGATCGAGAGAAAAATTTACAAAATTTATTATATAATTTAATACCTCTTTTACAACGACAATCTATTTTGAATTATAAAATATTTATTAGTGAACAACAAACACTAGGTGCATTTAATAAAGGTCGATTAAATAATATTGCATTTCATTATATTATGAAAACATATAAACCAACATGTGTTATTTTTCATGGTATAAATATTGTTTTTAATTTTAGAATAAATTATATTTGTTATTCATTCTATAGATGCTGATCTTATTCCTGAAAATGAACAGAATTTATATACATGTATAACATCAACTGATCATCCTATTCATATGTCAGCAAATGTACGTTCTCATATCAATGGTTCATATACAACAATCTATTCATTTCTTGTCGGTGGTGTATTAGCAATTCGACCAAAAAGTTTTTCTGTATTAAATGGTTATTCTAATAATTATTTTAATTGGGGTGGAGAAGATGATGATATGGGTTTACGACTCTTATCAAAAGATATTTGTATACAACGGCCAACAAGTGGTTATTATTATGCTGCGACACATTCAGGTCAAACACGAAATGAAAAACGATTTAAACTTTTATTTGATGCAGTTTTAA